AATTGTGCTGCTATAAGCATGGCTATGCGTGTATCAATGTGTTATGATACTTTTAAACTCTTTTGGGAAGATAACTAGAAGGGGGGAGAACTGGGTGAAATGGAACCTCTAGTTTTAGTTTTTTGAAGAATCTCCATACAGATTTCCATAGTAGTTGTATGAGTTTATGCTCCCAGTAGTAATGGAAAAGGTTCCTTTTCCATTACAGCCTCACAAGCATTTGTTACTGGTTGATTTCTTGATGCGAGCCATTCTTTCTGGAGTGAGATGGAATCCCAATTTTTGTTTTTGTTTTTGTTTTTGTTTTTTTGGTACCAGGGATTGAACTTGGGACCTTGTGCTTGCGAGGCAGGCGCTGGAACCACTGAGCTAAATCCCCAGCCCCTCATTGTTGTTTTAATTTGCGTTTCTCAAATGACTCGTAATGCTGAGCATTTTTTCATGTATTTCTTTGCTGTTTGTACTTCTTCGTCTGAGAAATGTCTATTTCAAATGCCCATTTTTGGATTGGGTCTTTAAATTTGGGGATACCTCACAAAACTAGAGAAAAAAATCTTAGTTATCTTTCTTACCTGTCTTACACCTTCCCAATTTTTCTAGCACCATTTATTAAAGAGGCTATCTTTCTTCCAGTGAGGGTGTTTGGCCCCTTTGTCAAAGATAAGTAGCTAAGTGTGCTTAGAGTTGTTCTAAGAATCTTCTATTCTGTTCCATTGATCCTCGAGTCAGTTTTTTGGCAGTACTATGCTGTTTTTATCACAGGTAAGATTGTTTTCTCTAGTTTTGTGAAGTATGCTATTGGTATTTTTGATTGGGATTGCATTAAATCTATATAAGGATTTGGGAAGTGTGGCTATTTTCACTGTATTGGTTCTGCCTGTCCAAGAACGGGGGATATCTTTCCATTTTCTGGTATTTTCTCCTTTTTTTTCATTAAGTTTATTGGTACATTTTAAGTGTACAATACAGTTACATTCATCATTGGAATCTTGTACCTTTACATGATGTATCTTCGTTATTATTTTTTCCCCATTCCCCTGCCCTCCCCTTCACCCCCTCCACCCTTCCCTATTTACAAAGACTTTGTTTCCATTTTTTCTCTTTTCTCATTTTTTCTTTTCCCTTCTTTCCTTTACCCTACCCCTCCCATCTTTGGTCTCCTTTTTCGGAGTTCTGTAGTTTCCAATGTATAGGTCTTTTACTTCCTTTGTTAGATTGATTCCTAAGTATTTCATTTAACTTGATGCTATTGTGAAAAGTGTGATTTCCCAAATTTCTCTCTCAGTATGTTTGTTATTTATGTACAGGAATACTATTGATTTTTGAGTGTTGACATTTTATCCTGTTATACTGTTGAATTTTGTTACTAATTCTAGGAATCTTGGTAGAGATTTGGGGATCTTCTATGTAGAGTATCATGTCATCTGCAAACAATGATTCCTTCTTTCCTATCCATAGTCTTTTGGGGGGGTGTATTGGGGATCAAACTCAGGACCTTGTGTTTGCGAGGTAGGCACGGTGCCATTGAGCTAAATCGCTGGCCCTTGATTTCTTTCTCTTGTCTAATTGCTCAAGATAATGTTCCCAGAACTATATTGAACAGGAGTGGTGATAGTGGGCATCCTTGTCTTGTTCCAGATTTTAGAGGGAAAGTTTTTGGTTTTTTTTTTGGTGCCGGAGATCAAACTTGGGACCTTGTGCTTACGAGGCAGGCAGTGGCACCACCGAGCTAAATCCCAGGCCCAAAGGTTTTCAATTTTTGACCATTTAGTATGATGCTGGCTGTTGGTTTCTCATAGATGGCTTTTATTAGATTGAAATAAAGACTTTCTATTCCAATTTTCTGTAGAGTTTTTATTGTGAATGGGTGTTGGGCTTTGTCAAATGCTTTTTCTGTGTCCTTGAGTCTATTAATATGATATATTGCATTTATTGATTTGCATATGTTAAACCATCCCTGCATCCCTAGGATGAATCCTGATTGGTCATGGTATATAATCTTCTCGATGATTTGCTGCATTGTTTGCCAGTATTGAGGATTATCACATCTGTGTTCATTAAGGAGATTGTCCTATAAGAAGTCTCTTTTTTGGTTGGATCCTTCTATGGTTTTGGTATCATGGTAATGCTTGCTTCCAGGAATCAGTTTAGGAGTATTGCCTCCTTTTCAATTTCATTGAAGAGTTTGAAAAGTAGTGGTATTAGATCTTCTCTAAAGTTCTTACAGAATTTAGCAGTAAATCCATCAAGACCTGGCCTTTTCTTTGTTGGTAGTTCTTTATTACTTCTTCAATTTCATTGACTTTTATAAGGTTGTTTAGAATATTTATATCTTCTTGATTCAGCTTTGGTAATTCATATGTATCTAGAAATCTGTCCATTCTGTGCTTTCCAGCTTATTAGAGTACAAATTCTCAAAGTAGGTAGGTATTGGTGATCTTCTGGATTTCTGCAGGATCTGTGACTATACCCTTTTCATTTCTAATTGCATGGATTTGGGTCTTTTCTTTCTGGTTTTTTTTTTTTAATAAGTTAAACTAAGGGTTTGTCTGTTTTGTTTAATCTTTCAAAGAACCAAGTCTTTGATTCATTGATTCTTTGTATTGTTTTCTTAGTCTCAATCACATTAATTTCTGCTCTAATCTTAATTTCTTTCCTCGTACACACTTTGGGTTTAACTTGCTCTTCTTTTTCTAGAAGCTTGAGGTTCAACCTTACTTATTTGAGCTTGCTCTATTTTTATGATGTGGGAATTCATCACTGTAAATTTCCTTTGTAGGACTATTTTCATTGCTTCCCATAAGTTCCGATATGCCATTATTGACATTATCATTTAATTGTTGGAATTGTCTAATTTCTTCTTTAATTTCATCTGTAAGCCATTGGTTGTTTGGGAGGGTGTTATTTAATTTCCATGTATTTATGAAGTTTTTGTGGTTTCTTTTGCTATTGATTTCCAATTTCATTGCAGTATTATCTGATAATATGCATGAGATAATTTCAATTCATTTGCATTTACTTCTGTAAGCTAGTATGTAGTCTTTTTGGAGAAAGTCCCATGTGCTACTGAGAAAAATGTATGTCCTGTTAGTGACTGGATCACTGTAGATATCTACTAAGTCCATTTTTTAAAGGTTTGGTTCAGTTCTGATATTTTTTGTTGATTTTTGTCTTGTGGATCCATTTGTGACAGTGGGGTATTGAAGTCCTCCAGTACAGGTGTATTAGTGCTTATCTGAGTCTTCATATCCATTAATGTTTGTTTGAGTTAAATGTGTTTCTTGTATGCACCATATTGTTAGATGTTGATTCTTGAGCCATTCTACCAATCTGTTTCTTTTGATTAGTGAATTGAGACCATTTATATTGATGCTTATAATTAATATATATTGACCTACCTTTGTCATATTATTTTCCTGTTGTTGGTTCTCTTTCTTTCCCTTCTGTTTAATTGCTTACCTTGACTGGTGGGTTCATTCTATTGGGATTCTTGAAATTGTTGTCTTTTTATAGAATATCCTTCAGAACTTTTTAGAGTGGTGTTTGGTGGTCATGAATTTCTTCAGCTCTTTATCATGGAAGAATCTTATTTCTCCATTGATTTTGAAAGATAATCTTGTGGAGTACATCAATCTGGGTTAGAGGTTGTTTTCTTTTAGGGCTTGAAACATATTACTCCAAGCTCTCTTTGACTTTTTTTTCCCATGTCTTTCCTAAGCGCCTCTATTTTTTTTTTTCTAATCTCTGGATTCACTATACATTTCCTTCATCTTGGTGCAAAGAACTCTTTGGTTAATTTACACCCAAGTTATTTATGTTTTGTGCTTTTAACATTTCCATAAAGTGAATTTTTGCTGCTTAATATATATTAGTATATATATATATATACACTAAGTATATATAAGCAATTAATTTTTAATATTAAATTTGTATCATGTGATCTAGCTAGAAATTGTTTTATAGATTCCTTAGAATTTCTACATCAGTGTCTTCTGATTTTTTCACCTGTTTTGTTTTCACCATATGCCACTCTATTCTTTGGTTTGCTGCAAAGTCTAGAATCTTTGTAGGAATGTTCAGTGGAAAAGGTGAGTTTTTTACCTTGTTCTTGATCTTAGAAAACATTCAGTATTTCAATATTAAACATAATGTTAGCTGTAGGTTTTTAGTAGCATCAATTTATCATTATTGAAGAAATTTTCTTCTGTTCATAGTCTGCTGAGAGTCTTTTTTATCATGAGTGGATCTTGAATTCTGTCAAGTCTTTTTTCTGTACATATTTAAATGATCATATTGTTTTTCTACTTTATTCTCTTAATATAGTGGATTATACTGATTAGATTTTGCATGTCAACCCAACCCTGTAGTCCTAAAATAACCCTTACTTGGTTTTGATGTTTTATCCATTTTATATGTTTTTAGATTCTCTTTGCCAGTATTTTTAAAGTAACTTTGGATCCATGTACATGTGGGTCGTTAGTCTATAATTTTCAATATTTCTAATACCTTTGCCAGCTTTTACAGTTAATATGCTAACTTTAAAAACAACTTGAGAAGTAATTCTGTTGCTATATTCTGAAATGGTTGTATGTAAAATTTTGATGTTATTCTTTCTTTGGTAGAATCCAGAAGTGAAACCATCTACAGTTGGAGTTTCTTGGTGGATTTAATTTTTTAAGAAATTCAATTCAGTTTTGTACCAATTTTGATAACTGTATTTTTAAGGAACTTGTTCTCTCAGAGTTGCTAAATTTATTTTCATGAAATTGATATCTCTTTTTATCCTCTCACTATCCATAGGATCTGTGGTGATAAACCCTCTTTCATTTCTGATGTTGGTGTTGGTCTCTTTGTCGAGTTTACCTAGAATTTAACTAGTTTTGCTTAATTAATCTTTCCAGAAAATCCCTTTTGGCTTTGTTGCTTTTCTCATGTTTTCTGTTTTATTGATTTTTTGCTCTTGTCTTAATTGTTTCCTTCCTTGTATTTACGCTTTATAGGCTTTGATGCGGCCTGGAAGAATAGACAGAATCATCTACGTACCGTTACCAGATGCAGCAACAAGAAGAGAAATATTTAACCTGCAGTTTCACTCTATGCCAATCAGTAATGAAGTGGAACTAGACGAACTCATCCTCCAAACCCATACATATTCAGGAGCAGAGGTAAGTTAACTCTTCTAAGAACACCTTAGTGGCTGGAGGTACAGCTCAATGATAGAGTGCATGCTTAGCATGTGCAAGGCCCTGAGTTTAATCCTCAGCACCAGGAGGAAAAAAATACTGGTACGAAGGAAGCAGTGGCTTGGGTCATTAAGCAAAAGAAACTCATTGCAAAAAAAAAAAAAAATGTTTCAAATAACTATATATTAAGAAATCTTAATACAGAATATTAATAAGTTGAATTGTACCTTACTTGGCCTCTGTCGTATCTCAGTTTGTTTGTTTTTTTACCTGGCTCCTATTGCATCTCAAAATGTAGTCTTTAGAAAAGTAGTATTCTTCTGTTGTGCTTTTTGGTACAGTTTCCAACCTGTCACATGTTTTTTAAGTATCAAAAGAAAATGACAGTACAACTTTCCCTGTTATTTTCTCATAGAGATCATACAAATGAAATTAGGATATCATACATATAAAAGCCTTGGCAAGGAAATTATTATCATTTTGGAAAATTATCTCAATCTACTTATAGATCACAGATTTCCTCATTTAAAAAAAAATAAAGTAAAAGCCACCACCTTCCTTGAACTATGAAGATAGACATTTCAATAAGAATTATAAGACCTCTATTGGCAAATAAACATTTTTTCCTGTCCTTAGCAAATCTGTACTTAGGCTATTTTTATTTAAAAATGAAACTCCATTAAATAATTGTGCATCTTCCCTACATGTATTTCTTAAAAAAAAGATAAATGGTATACTTCAACACAGAAATACTTTGTTAACACCATTTATGTGAATTTACACTGGAAAATTAATATTTTTAAGTAAGAAATTGTAGGTCCTGTTATTCTGATTTATCCAAGAAGCTAGGACTCCATGTTCTATTGCTTGCTGTTGTCATTAGTCTTCTGTAAAAATCAAAGGGATTAGCATATTAGTGGTGCTTAGAGAATCCTGTAGGTAAATTTACAGGTAGAATTGACTTTAGTATATCATGCAGTCACATTTAATAACAACATCCAAAGTAAATGTCATTTCTGTTCATTATTTTGTCTTAAGGACCATGGATATATTAATTTCTTCTTTTATTAATTTTTTTTAACTCCACTGAGGGGAAAAAGCCATTTAGAAAATAGCTTGAGAAGCAGTTGGAGTGCATTCACCTTTAAGTTCTGGCTGAAACAGTAATCTTTATGAGCATCTCTTCAGCATGACCATCCATAAAGTTAAAATGAACATACATTATAGTTCCTGTTAATTAACTATTCCAGTGTTTCTAAAGTTAAGTTTTTGTATGAATCTAAGGGCTGCCACTGTGATATAATGTGGCAATTTATAAGAAACAGGAAGGAGAAAAAAACCTATAAATCTTTCACTTGAGAGAAGTAGCAAGTTAGCAAGGTGTAAATGTACCTTTCTCACTTTAACTCAGAGTAGTAACACTGAAGTACAAAGTCTCGCTGAAAAGAAAAAAACTCTTTTGCTGCCAATAATTATTGTACTGTACCAGCTTGCTAGTTCTTAGGTAGTACATTTATTATTACAATCTAAAATGTAAGGACATTTCTAACTAACTTTTATATTAGATTTCCTAAAATAGTTACAGGAAAAGTAGCAAAAAATTCTGTGCCTCATGATGATCAGGCCAGAGAGGGGATTGTACTATGATCCCATTTATAAGTATACTATTACACTTTCCTAGAAGTTTTATCTCAGAGCTGCATCTTAGTAGTTCTCTGAGTTTGGGTTTGAAAGAGACAGGTTTATTTCACAGCAGTTTTTTTTCTTTTGGGGGGAAAGGAGTGTAAAGTTTTAGGCAATTCACAAAAGAGAACTATCATTTTTTAAAGTTTTAAAATGATAAACATGAAATTTATGACAGAGCAGTTTTAGATAAAAGATTAAGTTCTCGTCATTTTATTTTTTTTCCTGTCATTTCAGCAAATGATATATAATGTTTGAAAGTCAAAATTAGGTGTTTAATAGTGAAGTGAATTGAATGCCAGAACCTTAATCACTTCACTCCTACAGACTCAGTACTTCATTAACTGATTTATTTCCCATGCAAGCTAAAGCCATATTCTCCATCTTGAGGTAGGATAGAACAAATAAAGATAGGTACAAAGAAGACAAGGAAGATCATAGTTTTTAAATTATACTTTAAGAAAGTGTAGCTTCAAGACACAAGTCAAACTTAACCAAGGTTACAAGGTTGCTTGTAGGAAACTCACTTCAAACATCCCTGTATCTTAAAGGTACAATAAACCTGTAAATTGGCCCCATGCTTTTTAACTCTACATGGACCCTATGCTTTTTCTAGATTCACAAATTCCAAAGACTCCCACCTTCAAGAAAATAGCACACGTGGTTTCTCTTATAGGAGAAACCCAAATTACAAATAAAGAGCAAAATAAAAGATTGATAATAGGAAGTAGGGAGATAGATCTTGCTCAAATGGGAAAGGAGATCAAGAGATGGGAGGGAGAAGAAAGGGGAGGGAAAGGGGATGATAAAAAGAATTGAGATGTGTTATGTATATGTACCGACCTTACACAAAGAGAGTAAACAATATTGACTATGAATGTGTACTAAAACAAAGGGAGAGGGGCGGAGGGAAAAAGAAAGAAAGGAGAAAAAAGAGAAGAAGGGAGGGAGAGAGAAACAGAAAGAAAAGAAAGAAGAAAGAGGGCCCGGGATTTAGCTCAGTGGTTCCGCTACTTGCCTCGCAAGCACAAGGACCTGAGTTCAATCCCTGGTACCAAAAAAAAGAAAAAAGAAAGGGAGAGAGAAAGAAAAGAAAGTACTTAGCAAGACATGGTAGCCAATGTGTGTAATCTCAGAACTCTGGGAGGCTGAGGCAAAAGGATCTCAAGTTTAAGACCAATTTTGGGCAATTTAGCAAGACCCAGTCTCAAAATACAAAAGAAAAGAGCCTGGGGATGTAGCTCAGTGCAAAGATTGAAGGAAGAGGGTACTGTGTACCGTGTCTCTAAAGTCCAAGCACATGCAAATGGTTTGAATTCTAAACTAAGCTCTAACAATATACATCCTATGTCATACCTCTTGAGGATACCCCCAAGAACACATAAATACCCCTACCTCAAAACCATAATATGTCTCTCTCTTGAACTCTTGCACTGCTTTTTTCTGAATGTGTACTTCTCTAATACTGCCTAATCTCTATACCGGCTCCACTTAGCCACGTGACTAGCCAGCAGCCGGCATGAAGCTCCCCGGCTCCATCCTGGGCCCCTGCCCAGGCCACGGCGAGGTCCCAGGCCCAGCTTGGAGCCCCGCCCCCATCCAGCCCTCCGCTTAGCCACGAGGGTGCCTCCAAGGCCCAGTCCCACTCCCCCCAGCACCCCCCACGGTGCGCCTCTGGCCTTCTGGCTCTTCTGCTACCTGGTCCCACACTACAGAGGCACAGGGGATTATAAAAGCCCTTGTCCTGAGCGCCACGAGATAGAGCAGAAGTTAGTAACAGAAACAAGGCTTCTTAGGCTCCTCATTGAAAACTGAAGCTCAGCGGAAAAGTACAGAGAATCTCTACAATAAAGGCACACCAGACCACCGTACTTGGTAAGTTGGAGGGATCACCACCTGGGACCATGACCTGCCATCAAAACCTGCACTATCTTCAGGGGAAGGGCAACTGAAATCTGCAGTAGAACTTTGCAGAGTTCAACCCTGCAGGAGGATAGGGAGCTCAACTTTGGACTAGCAGCCTGAATCTCACAGGTTTGCTGCTGGCTTGCTGAGACTCATTGACTCGTATATGCACATGGAAGCCTACATTTCCTACTGTGACAGCAGAGACATACCCTGAAGGAGGCCCATCATTTTTATTTTCTGTTATTTGCAAAAAAGAAAAAAAAAGTTTTTTTTCTCTTATTTTCAATTCTTAATTTTTATTTTTTCCTACTCTTTTCAAATTTTTACTTTTCTTTTATCTTGTCTTTCTCCCTCTCTCTCTCTGTCTCTCTCTCTCTCTCTCGTTCTCTTGCTGTCCCACATTGCTATTCATCTCCTCTTCCCATTTGTTCCTTTTCGCACTGAATTCGGATTTCTCCTCTATTTTTCTTTTCTTCTCTTTTTCCTTCTCTTGATTATCATTAGTTTTAAAGAAAAGTAAATACAGTATCTAGCCTCCCTGTTGCTGCTAGGTGATTCTTTTCTCATCTTTGTTCTTTCATCCTGCCTTTTCCTCTTGCCTTTAACAATTTCTTATAGTTTGTGTGATCTTCCTGTGTCTTCTGGCCTCACTGCTAATCTTTCCTGATCTTTCTACCTGTCCCTCCCTCCCCAACTCCTTCTAACTCCCCACCCCGAAGAGGAAAGATGCTATATTGAAGAGTTTATTCACTATAAACATATGTTGGGTTGGTCCTCAGTTTTAACTTAATTCACGTAGTTAAATGTGATAGATTAATAACTACCACAAATTGTCCTTTCCTAAGCTTTGCTTGATGCTAGGGTATTTCTGATTGTATCATTTGGGATAACATGTTGTGATTGATCTATTCAGTTTTCCTTCCTGGTATAAGGAAAATAAAATAGCCTCAGAGTCATTAGAGTCTCAAAACCCAAACACAAGCTATATCTGGAAGACACCTCTGAAAAGCAATCATTTCACAAGGGTTTTAAACACAAGCAACAAAGATACCTACATTAAGCAGTTTTGAAACATCAACCCAGGAATTAAACCAAGGACAGTACCAAAAACAAAAATGAGAAGACATTTAAACAAGGCACAAACGCAGGCTTCCACACCACAAAAAGGAAATTCTGAGGGAAATGAAATGGAAAAGTCTGATAATCAACCACCTGGACACCCTGAACTGATAGCACAGGAAGTAACAAAGCAGATGCATGAGGCTCTAGAAAAATTCAAAGCAGAAATAATCTCCCAGATAAATACAGACATGGTGAGCAGGGTGAAAGACATGATTAGAAGCTCTAGGGCAGAAACAGGTAAGAAAATAGATGAGATCAGAAACATGCCA